TCTTACAAGACATTTTCTTCGCCCATGCAAACCTCCCAAGCGGTACCCTTTACTTCATTTTCAGAAATTTCAATTCGTTTTGTAACAGTGTAAGCAATCAGCGGACGGAGAAAATGCAGTGAAGATGTATTTTGGTTAGCTTATTCCCAGTTCAACAAAAGCACACTCATTCGCAATCACTTTCCAGCATTAGCAAAGGACTATTCTGAGGAAATGCTTGCTGGCATTTCGAGAAATTTTCTGGCAAAAGTCTATCAGGAATTGCTTCGACATTCGTGGAATAAAAAAAAAAGATACTATGACAAGCAGAATTAGATAAAGAGGTCAAAATGCTCTCTTTCTCAGTTCATTTTAAAAAAATATTTTGGAAAAAAACAAGGGGCCGTTAGCCACCTTAGTGAATTTCAAAAAGCTGCTTGAGGCTTCAAAAAGCCGCTTAAGTCTTTGCATGAAAGCTATGATATTTTGATCACAGAATCAATTGATGATTTTTGTAGACCTTTCCGTGTCCGGCTTGTGAGAGCTTTCCAGTAACATCAGGAAAATCCGTTGTTCAAACTGATGAGAAGTTTTGGAATTCTTGGTATCTGATAATAATCTTAGTGCAGGTCAATGTAATCAGCATTTTACAAATGTCGGCAAATTCATGCTTACCAGTATTTGACAAAATTCAGTCCTGACATTCTGTCGTTACGATGTGCAATCAACACTTATCTAAGCTAAACTAAAAAAAAATACTCCTCTTGCAGCGTCCAGCGAATGACTCCGGATCAGCAATCGTATGGCTGAAGTAGCACAAACTGCTGTTATCATACAATTATTTCTATATTACTGCCTCAGAAGCGCTCAGAAGAGCGAAACCAAGACTAGTTGCAATCGAGGCGCTATATCTTGGTAACACCGTCAAGTAAATAACAAAATTCGGAAAATTTGACAACCGCTGTGAGATTGGAACATTTAAGCTTATAGATCAGATCAAATGACGGACAGTTATCATCTGAGCTGAATGTAGCATAGCTTCCTGCTAGCTGTAACTTACACAGCATCTACATAATTTGGGAAACTTGTAAATTTGATGGGACTCTGGGTTAAAGTATTGCGTTTTCTGTGCATTTATTAGACCAAGCACAAATGAATTCTAGCTTACCGATCCTGACACTGGTCACTCGTGTCTCGCTGTGCATTCAATTTTCCTACATCTCATGCGTATGTATGTCACTTCTAATTATTAGCGTTTGCTGATCAAGCTGGTGACGTTGTACCAGCTTGACCAGCGAACGCTAACAATTATGAAGCTTGCTGAGCAAAAGCTAAAACAGTTTGCTTTCTTAAGTGGCCAGAAAACTGCTGTTGCCACCGCAGTCTCCTGTTCGATAGGATTTTTTGTGAGCAAATAGATTTGGTGACAGTGAATGTGTTTTTTAAAGTTCCCAATATGCTAATAGTCTGCTAGCCCAATTCTTAGATGAGTTCGAACAAATTGTAAGTTTTGGCCCACTGAAGGTTGCGAATTAGAGATGTAGCTGGCACGCCCCCATGGGAGCCGATTTGCAAAATCTGGGTCAACGAGTGGCGCATTTTCAACGTTTTCTTTTTAATCTAGATTTTAAGCTTCTTCCTGACAAAACTGTAGTTCTTTACAAAGTCTATGCCACTTTTGTTGTAGGTGATAGAATTCTTTTTGCGATTAACAGCTCGCCTGGACTGCACTTTTTTATAAATTTCTAGAAGTTTTAGAAGATTATTCTCAGCACGAATTATCATTCTGAATTTTATCTGACAAAGCCCCCTCTTTGAACACTTTTGCCTTTTTTGAATTTGTTACTTCTTTATTTGCGTTCAGCATCGATTCGTGATTTTTCAGCTTCTAAAATGTTTTAGTAGC